TGGAATTTCTAGAATTTTCTGGAATTTTCTAGTATGTTCTAGAATGTTCTAGAACTTACTGGAATTTTCTGAAACTTTCTGGAATTTTCTAGAGTGTTCTGGAATTTTTAGCATGTTCTAGAATGTTCTGGGCCTTTCTGGAATTTTCTGTAATTTTGAAATTTTCTAGAATTTTCTGGAATTTTCTAGCATGTTCTAGAATGTTCTAGAACTTTCTAGAATTTTCTGAAACTTTCTGAAATTTTCTAGAATGTTCTGGAATTTTTAGCATGTTCTAGAATGTTCTGGACCTTTCTGGAATTTTCTGTAATTTTTGAAATTTTCTAGAATTTTCTGGAATTTTCCAGCATGTTCTAGAATATTCTGGACCTTTCTTGAACTTTCTGGAATTTCCTGTAATTTTTGAAAATTTCTAGAATTTTCTGGAATTTTCTAGCATGTTCTAGAATGTTCTAGAACTTACTGGAATTTTCTGAAACTTTCTGAAATTTTCTAGAATGTTCTGGAATTTTTAGCATGTTCTAGAATGTTCTGGACCTTTCTGGAATTTTCTGTAATTTTTGAAATTTTCTAGAATTTTCTGGAATTTTCTAGCATGTTCTAGAATGTTCTAGAACTTTTTAGAATGTTCTGAAACTTTCTGGAATTTTCTAGAGTGTTCTAGAGTCTTCTGAAATTTTCTTGAATGTTCTGGAACTTTCTGGAATTTTCTAGAAGTTTTTGTAATTTTCTAGAATGCTCTGGAATTTTCTAGTATGTTCTAGAATGTTCTAAAATAACCTGGAAATTCCTAGAATGTTCTAGAACTTTCTAGAATGTTCTGAAACATTCTGGAATTTTTCGTAAGTTTTTAAAATTTTCTAGAATTTTCTGGAATTTTCTAGTATGTTCTAGAATGTTCTAGAACTTACTGGAATTTTCTGAAACTTTCTGGAATTTTCTAGAGTGTTCTGGAATTTTTAGTATGTTCTAGAATGTTCTGGGCCTTTCTGGAATTTTCTGTAATTTTGAAATTTTCTAGAATTTTCTGGAATTTTCTAGCATGTTCTAAAATGTTCTAGAACTTACTGGAATTTTCTGAAACTTTCTGGAATTTTCTAGAATGTTCTGAAATTTTTTAGAATTTTCTGGAATGTTCTAGAATTTTCCGCATAACTAAAGAACATTGTATTCAAAAGGAAACTACTATGACCCATTTTCAGTAGTCCACAGGATCGAAATTCAAGTGATATACAAAAGAAACGAAATTTTCAAAATTTTTAAGTTTTGAAGATTTGTGCTCAATTTTATGTAGGCAACACATAGATAGGCCTGAAAACCGTTTTTGAGAATTCCCTGAAGTTTTAGTGAGTTTCAACATAATTTTGAAATTTTCGATTCTCAACCCTATAGGTTCCCTATAAGCTAGAAGGCCCAGGACACCATGGACATGAAGCGCTCGGTAGTCCATGGCTACATACCACACACCATTATAGGAGTCCCACGTCCCTTTGAGTTATTCAAGTAAATGTCCGAGACGGACACACACACACACAGAAGTTTCCTTAGTAAGAAGTAGATTCAGTTGAAATTTTTTTCATGTGCTACGAAAAAGTCTGCTGTCGGTGGTGGTTTCCGTCACGTGGAAGCCGCGAAAAAACCGACATTACCACAACCCTGTAGTGAGCACAACTTCTCTTTTCTCCAATTCATTTTCCCATCATTATTTAAAATCTAGACTCTTTAACATCTGAATCTTAACACGGCCATCACTCGGTTTTGGTTTTCTCTGGATTTTAGGTGATAGTTTTGCTTTCTTCTTCCTTCCTTGGTTTCTCTCTTTCCTCGCATATGGATGCTTGCTAGACGAGCAGAGACAGTCTGCGTCTCCTTTATCATCTATCATCTCTATATTCATTCTCAATTTTTTGGCAGAAAACAAGCGATAGCTTTCTAAATTTCTTTCTTTTTCTTCTTTTCTACACACGCCGTCTTTCACTTTAATCCTTCCGTTGCCTGGGAAACAGACAAACAAACAATAGATTCTCGAATAACAGAATGTGCCATAACCTCAAACTTCAATGTTATTTCTTTCATTTGATATGTTTCTGTTAGATCCTCATTTCTCATCTCTACATATTAATTTTCAAAAATGTTAACATATAATTCAAAATAATAAATTTTTCAGGTAATTGAAAATGGACTTTGCCAGCATTGATGTCAAAGGTGCAGAATACAAGAAAGCAGCGATTTTGTTCTGCTACCGAACAACACATTGTATCGATTCGGCTTTTTCTTTATTGAGTAAAGAGTATCCGGACGTCACGAGGAAAGACGTGGAAGCTTGGTTCACCGAGCTGAGACTCGGTGAAATTCCGGTGCCGGTAAACACGGGGTGAGTAGATCTTGAATTATTTACTCATCTATTTTTTGATATCAACTTCAGGAACCAACAAGAAAAAGCACTGTTCAGTTTGTCGCCAAAGCTTCTACAAGAAATAACAAAATATTTGAGTGCGCAAGATTTGTAGGTTTTTTTAAAAATTGCTGGCATATTCATCTCTGTGTACTCCTATTTACAGGAAATCGATCTCGCAAGTGTGCAAGTTACTAAAGCAATTTGTGGCTAGAATCGATGTCAGAATCGACTTGATTCACATCTTTCTCAAGCCGGACTCCATTGAAATCAAGACTGTGAAACCTGGATCAACTTCCCTCTGTCAAATCACACAAACGCCAAATGGATGTTCTGTCAACAAGGACGGCTTCACTACTTCACAAAGACGCACTTTTTTGGAGCAATTGGCGGATGAGTTCGAAAGATGTCTTGGAAATGATAATCGGAAAGTCAAAAAACTTGATATCGAAGTCGACAAGGAGAGTGATCATCAAACCGAGTTTTTCGACAAACTGATCACTACGTTTAGACGCCTGGACTCTCGTCTGGACTGTGAGACATTGCACACTGATTTCTGCCCTTCGCGTACATTGAAGTTCCTCATCGAACAACTCTCCAGCGAGCATTTTAAAGATCTTCGGATAAGAAGTGCTACACAAGTAATCCATGTTGGACCATACGATATGAGCGAAATCATTTTACTCCCACACTGGAAGAAACTCACCGCTTTTTTCTCCTTCTGCGACTTGACAAATATTTCTCTCTTGGATTTCGCTCATATTGACTGCGTGAGTGCCACGACGAGCTCTCGTCCTACGGAGGATATTGCTTCTTACATTTTGGTGAGAGTTATCATCAAAAAAAGCTAAACAATTTTCCACTTTGCAGGCCTGTGCGATGAGTTCCTCGAGTTACCAATTAATAGGCCTTCCAATCGAAAATGTTGAAGATGTGGCATCACGACTGCTCCCCTTTGGAGTTGAAAAAAAGTGAAAAGACGATTATTCCAGAACTGGGCGGATTCTTCTGGAAGGCAGAGGTCACTTGGAATATCAAATCTCAAAACTTTCTCTCAGCTTAATCGGGCGATATAACTGAATTGGATGTTTCTTGTATCTACTATATCATACCTTTTTCATTCGATTTGCAACTTTTTTAAGACAAGAAATAAAAACTGACTTCTCAATATTGTGAAATGAAAGAAGAAAGAAAAGTATAATAGTTGCTCGATGGAAATTATAAAAAAGTTCTAAATTTTATTTTGCCTTTTTCATTTTTGCTCCCGAAGAGCAGAGTTTCCCAGCAGACGTTGCCCAATGCAATTCATATTTGCGGAATATTATTGATTTTTTTTCCAACCAATTGTTTTTCACTTGCACGATCCCTTTTAAATTTTTAGAATTATAGATCTTACAAAATTGCATTTTCGCGATTTTCGGATGAAAAAAGTTATCGAACAAATTGTACGGTATTCTACCGTGTTTTCTCTTTTAAAATCCTCTTTCCAAGTCTAAAGGAGAGAAATCTCCCCCGAACACACGTGCAAGAGGTGTGGATTACTGTATCCGCGCGCGAAACTGTGTGCGCGCCAAAACGCGTCTCCTCTCTCGGCAAATTCTCATCGTTTTCTTTAGTTTTCGCTGGTGTTCGCTCACGATTGGTGACGACCCGTTAAAGTGTGGCTCACTGGTTTTAAAGGTTTAATAGTGATTTATTGTTGACTCAATAAATAGTGTTTTAATAGAATACACTGTGTTTTTGCTGTCTTCTACTTTCAGGTTACATTAGTTTTTGAGTGAATAGTGTTTCTTTAGTTTTTCAAATACATTACTTGGGGGCCGAAGGCTTTTTCCGGGACTTTCTCGGTCTTTTGTGTGAATCTGCTACTTGATTACGTTCTACCGCTTTTTTGCTCTTGTTTGCTTCGGTTCTATCAGTCTCTTGTCGTTTTCACCCGTTTCTTTGCCGTTTTTATCGATTTTCACTGAGAAGGCGTTCTGTCCGGTCACCGGCAGCTTCTTGCCATATTCTCGGCGACTTTCGATCTCTTGTAAATTGAGAAGGCGTTCTGTCCGGGCACCGGCAGCTTCTAGCCACTTTTCTCAGTTTGTGGGAGTGAAATTAGCTCGATTAGCTAAGGATCGGAGGACATAGTACTGGAATCAACGTTTCGAGCAAGTGGAAGGAAGTGGTGAACGATTCGCTATCGTCTGTGAGAAGAACTGCCGAGTTTTGGAAGGATTTCCGACTGAGGAAGTGCTATAAGTCGATTTTTCGTCGAAAAATCGATAATTCCTGCTGAAAATTGCCGAATCAATTTTCAATTGGTTGTCAAAGGAGTGTGCAAGTATTCGGAGAGACAATTGTGGATTCTGAGAGGATTTCACTGGTTTTCAAAAGATTTTTGTGTGAGAAATTGAGAAATTTCGTGTTTTCGGGCAGAAATCGTAACTTGCTTGCTGAAAGTTGTCGAGGAAGGCTTCTGTCGGGAATTCTAGGATTATTGTCAAGTTCTCAGTAAGATTTCCGCGAGTTTTCGTCGAATTTTCCGTTTTTTCAAGTCAAAAATTGGGAAATTATTCGATTTTATCGATTTTCGGCCTGGAATTTCGTGTCAAAAGAAGATTTGAGAAGAAGGAAGTGTTTCAAAGAAGAATTGCTAGCTTTTCAACAAGAATTCGTGTAATTCGGTGCCGAAAACTGACTTCGTCTGAAAATCAGTCATTTTTGTATCAAATTGTTCAAATTTGTGTCAGAGCTCGGAATTTTCCATAGAATTTCGCAGTCTGCTGTCATTCGTCGACTAGAACTAGTTTTCTTCGTCTTGGCTAATTCCCTAGTCTTCAGAATCTGTATTCGTTCGGAAACAAATTTCCCGATTTTTTTTTCCTACAGTAGAAATGTCGGTTTCGAAGGGTTTCGTGCTTGATGATGATGGAATACATGGTAACTTCTCTTCAAAGGATTCGTCAGCATATTCTGCGAGTGAAAATGATTTTCTGGAACAAAAATTTGGGAAAATGATGCAAAAATACAATTTTGAAAACCAGAACGCAGTTCAGCAGACTATTCAGAATCTTCAAAAATTCACAAAGTTGTCAGGAAACGGAGCTTATAGTATGTTATTGCCTTTAATCAGTTTGATCAAAGAAAAAGACAATGACTCTTTCAAGCAGGTTGCCGATCACGACGATGTTGTGAAACGCATTCGTGTGTCATGGCAAGAAGAACGAGAGGGCAGAAAACGAATTCCAAATTTCGTAATGAAGATTTGTGAGTGGATGCTGGATAATGGATTAAGGTCAGTTGAAGAACTTGAAGAAGAATGGAAGGCTGCACAACAAAGAAGACTAGATCTGATTTCGCTGTTAGAGGATAATACTGTACAGTTAGAATACGCGAGGAAAAGAGCGTATGATCAAACTGTAAAGTGTGAGCAGGTCCAAAAGGAATTTGATTATCTCAAGATGAAAAACAGGAAGCTGTTCAAACAGCTAGAAGGTGCTCGTTCAAAATTTCGCAAAATGAAAGTAAGCCAAGAGTCTGAACAAAAACAGATTGTATCGGAAAAGGAAAGAAGTAGCGTCGGATCTTCTGAGAACAATGTCAATTCGTTCGAACATATTGAAAAGAAAAATCCTTCACAAGTTGAGTTACAGATATCTGAATCAGAAGTTGCGAAGATAGTTCTAATTGGTGTAAGAACAGAAAAAGAAGTTTGTGATCACAAAGTAGAAAATGGTTTCTTGAATAATGGACAAAGTGAATTTGATACAATGATTTTGAAAGAGGATTCTACTGAGGACAAAGTAGATGAATCTTTGTGTACGGATATTAAAGAAGAATCTACAGAAGGAAATGTGGAGGATTCGAAAGTCGTGTTGTGTAGGGGGGGTCAACAGTCTGATGAGTTTCAGAGATGCCGCACAAAAAGCACACAGGATAATATCAAGGATTTCAAGGAGATTTTTTAGTCACAGAGACTAAACAGTCAAATGAAAAGTGCATGAGAGGAGAGATCAATGAAGGATCTCGAAATGTTGAAGTGTATCAAAGTCAGGAGAATGTCCAGAGCAAAGAAATAGGTTTTCAAAGTGCGATCGAAAAATTTGATATTCTGGCCAGTATGGATCTAAAAGAGCAGTTTCATGAAAGAATTTCTGTATTAGAAACTCTAACAGTCATCGAAGAACAAATAACTGTATCAGAGACCATGATAGAACCTGCCTCAGGAAATTCAAAGGAGAAGGAAGAAAGCAATGTACAGAACAAGAAAGCTAACGACTGTTGGAAAAGTCAAGGTCCCCCGATGAGATTACTGCTGAGTTCTTCAAATTTGGATGAATATGAGAACAAAAAGTGTGTTGTTTTTGAAAGTGATACACCCATAAAGTATCCCATATTGACTTCTGGGAAATCGCCACGATTGGAAAAACAGGACCCGAAAAAGGCCGGAAAGGGTGCCTGTGGCTTTGGTTTTCAGACAAAGACCAATCGCCGAATTCAGGAGGAACCGTGTCCACGGAAGGATCCACCGTTACTGAAGCATGGTACAAGTGATTCCCAAGTCATTCTGGATGAGGCACAACTTCTCATACACCAGGATTTTGTCCACGTAAGGATCCACCACAACCACAACTATGTCATTCGAAGGATACTAGTCAAATCCAGGATAAATTGAAAGCCCGCTTACACCAAGAGCTTCGACCAAGGAAGGATCCACCCCAAATGCACCCAGATGATACCAGAGAATTTGAGTCCCAACCGCAGCAACGTGAAGTTCACCTGCATCAGGATTTCCGACCAAGGAAAGATCCGCCATGTCAAGAGCACCACCACCACAACATGTCACAAAGTCACTATGGTTCAATCACGGATTCATGGTCCAATTTCGTTATTGATGTGCACTGATGAGCCAAGTACACCTACAGCCATCACCTTCCTAAATTTTGTTAATTTTCTAAAATCTTATGATTGTAACAATCTTGCCAAATGTTTCCCCCATATATCTCTTATTTCCTAATTACCCCAGTTTCTTATTCATTAAATTCTATATTTTCTTGCCATCCCATACCCCATCCATATGAGTTTTAAGTAGTTGTTATTCTTTTAAGTTTTCTAGGTCCCGTCTACCCATCCTATGTTTTCATTAATTGTGATTTTGTGCCCTTTAATCATTGAGCTGAGGCAATCACCATTTTCACTCTTGCCACGTACGGGGACTCGAAAATGGACGGAGATGTACGGTATTCTACCGTGTTTTCTCTTTTAAAATCCTCTTTCCAAGTCTAAAGGAGAGAAATCTCCCCCGAACACACGTGCAAGAGGTGTGGATTACTGTATCCGCGCGCGAAACTGTGTGCGCGCCAAAACGCGTCTCCTCTCTCGGCAAATTCTCATCGTTTTCTTTAGTTTTCGCTGGTGTTCGCTCACGATTGGTGACGACCCGTTAAAGTGTGGCTCACTGGTTTTAAAGGTTTAATAGTGATTTATTGTTGACTCAATAAATAGTGTTTTAATAGAATACAGTGTGTTTTTGCTGTCTTCTACTTTCAGGTTACATTAGTTTTTGAGTGAATAGTGTTTCTTTAGTTTTTCAAATACATTACTAAATCTAAAATCATATTTTTATGTTACGAAAAACATTGCGGTTTTTATAACTCCAAGGTTTTTCTGTATTCCATTCTTTTTACTTTTTTTCAAATAGCACGCGCTGCGCAGCTGACTCTTCTTCAAATATTTTTGCTTTGCGCCGTTTTCGAAATACGTTTCATAGTAGAGCGCTTTTGCATGAAACCGTACAATCCGCGACTCCGTGCAGCAGGAATAGGGAAAATCAACGCAGGCGGCGCGGCGGCAAAAATAAAACGGCTGCCTGTGGAATACACGAAAATAACCACCGTTTTTCAAGCTCTGCAGTGCAGACAGCGCGGCGACTTATTTTCATTTTTTTTTCAATCTAGACTTTTTTACTTATTGATTTTCGTACCCATACATGCACACCAACGAGTTGACCCAATTTATATGTTACGTAATCTGCGAACAGCACGACCGATACACATTCGCTTGTGAGAGAGTGTGTAAAATAAGGAGGGTCACATTCTCAGTGCATCAGCTATTTTTCCATACGAGAGCGCAGTGTGAGACTACACCACCTCTTTTTGCCTCCTTGTATCTTTTCTCAGTTCTTCTGTTATTATGTGTTCAATGTTTTGCGAAGAATAGTTAATTGTTATTTGGCACGCTTGTCAGCAATTTTCTGTGCCCGAAACTAGCGTAGTTTCCACTTCAAATTTTTGAGAAAAAGAGATATCTCACAAAAAAAAATAATAGAAAACCATGTTGAAGTTGAGTAATCTGTTTTCATGGCTACCTCTTTTATTTCACAATGTTTAGAAATTCAAATGCATCAAATTATTCTTTCGTTTTTCTGCATCTTATTTTTTTTTCTCTCGAACCTTCTTTTCTCAAAACTAGGCGATTCTGAAAACTGTTCTAATATCTAAAATTTCAGCATTCTCAACTCATCGTTTTTCGTTGACATGCAAAACGCCGTTGAGGACGTGGTTCATCGTCGTAATGGAATTCTTCTATACTTCCAACTCCAGCATGATGTTCTGCGTACCGTGACTGATCTCAAAAATGTGTTCCCGGATGTCACCTTCTCTGAAGTTGACGCCTGGTTTACCAGATTCAGATCCGGGAACAACGACATTGTGACGCCTGTCGTGTGAGTTGCTTTTCGGCCTATTTCAGAGTTTTCGAGAAGTTTCTTTTTTTTTTGGACATTGGTTATTTAACACCGTTATAAATGCCAAATGTTTATACCGTATTTTGCCCCTGAGCTTTTATTTTTCAACCTACTTTCTCGGGAAATTTCCAAAAACTGAAATTATCAGAAATTTAAAAAAAAACAAAAAGAACATGTCCGAAACAATCGGATAGACAAATTGCACTAAATGAATTGCACGAATTTCTATTACAGGGTGCGTTTCAATGTTTTTAAGAACGTAGAGCACCGTGGGGTTTTATTAGATGTAAGCTTTTATTGAAAGAAATACGGTATGCATTTTTGTCAAATACGCTGAAAATTTTCGTCAAGAACTTTTCATATCATTTTCCTATTCGTAATTGTTTATCCAAGAAAACGCATAAAAATCAGATATAATTCAAATGTCATATATAAACTTAGAAAATGCCTTTAATGAGGCCGATCCGAAGAAGGGAAAAGAAATTTCATGTATCTCAACTTTGAAAACATTTATTTCAGTTTCTGTGGAAGGTATCAAAAAGTCGCCAAAGAGCAAAATTCTTTTCGAAAATATATGTTCGGCAATTCTAGTCCAGTTTGATATCATATACGTCGATTCCTATGCAAGATACCAAAAATGTTTCAACTGACGAAATACCATAGTTGCAACGGGCCGGGCCGAAAGAGTAATTTTGTCGGCCCGGCCCGACTCGGGACAGCCCGCCTATCACAGTTGAAAAATTCCAATGAAAACTTCGGTAATTTTTTTAATTAGAAAAAGAAAAAAGTCACATTAATTAAAAAACTTAACAAAGTAAAAAGTAGTCAAAAAATAGATAGTTTTCGTTTAAAGTTTTGAAAAAAAAAATCAAAATTTTCGAAAAAGATTTTTTAAAAAATCAGCAGTCTGTAGGAACCCCGGGCCGGCCCGCAAAAATTCTCGGCGCTCTGACCCTAGAGAATGGATAGAATTTATCTCGCGATCGGGACACACAAGTGGATAGACTGAAAAAAAGGTTGCTCTCTGATTCCAGAACAGTATTCAAAATTCGCTAGATGGCCCGGAGAGCCGAGATATCTGTGCTCAAAAATCAAGCTATAAACCATGTAAATCTCGTTTTTGACTTTTTGATTTGCTGCTTCCCCTCTCTTTTTCCTTCCCTCGAACACCTCATTCTTATCCGTCACCTTTGGTTACTACAAAATGTTGTTCTGTGGCCGAGTGGTGTGTGCGCTTGTCTAGGAATCTGGTTTTGCGGGTTCGATCCCTCTTCATTTCAAGCATTTCGTTTTTGTGTTATTTGATTTTTGTGTTATACATTTAATGACTTTTTATACCTTTTATTATGATTTTTTAGGTTTATAGCTTGATTTTTGAGCACAAATATCTCGGCTCTCCGGGCCATTTAGCAAAATTTAAAAACTGTTCTGGAATCAAGGAGCAACCTTCTTTTCAGTGAATCCACTTGTATGTCCCAATCGCAAGATAAATTTTAACTATTCCCTAGTTAGAGAGCTACCTTTGATTTGATTAAAACTATTATTGATACTAATAAGTAATTTCACATTTTCAGCTTCAATGAAGGAGCTCCAGGAATGGCTGATATTCCAGTTCACCTGAAAAGGAAAATTACGGAAAACGTGGGATATACCGAACAGTGAGTAACAACACATTTATCTGAAACATCAGCATTTTTAATTACAGAAAAGCTCTTCTGACGGTGAACTCCACCTTCCGTGAAATCCTAAAAGCGGATCGCCGAATTTTCAAGGAAATAGCGGTGCGCCACGGAATGAATGGAATCTCGCTGCTCTTCAGAGTGGAAACAGTTGGGGTGAAGGAATCAAAATTTTTCAAAAAATCTGAAGGTTCTGAGATCCACAACGGAAACATTGTTACGGTTTCCACTCACCCCTATTACGTCGAAGCGTGGAACCAACTTGCAAAAGTTTTGAGTAAAGACTTCATAAAAGTCAACGAGTGGGTCATTGACGTGGAGAAAGAACAACAAGATCGTGAGCTGTTCCTATTGGAAATGAAGAAATGTTTGGCATCTTTGAAAAATAAAATTCACGTTGAAGTATTGGAAGCTAGTCTCAAAACGAATGAGGACGTTGTCGCGGTACTGGAAGCCATCAAAGTAGGATCAATTAGGAAAAGCACTTTGAACACTGATGAGAAAGATGGTCCTCTCCGTTTGGACGATTCACTACAACTCTCCCCACACCTGTCAAGCATGAAGGAAGCAAAGTGGAGTCGAGTCATCCTTGACATTCCATTGTCATACATGACACATCTCGCTCGTTTTGCTGCTGAAATCTACAATCTTGATCTGGAAGATTTGATGGAATACAAAAACGTATGTTAATTTAACATATAAAAATTTTCGTTTTTATTTCTATTTTCCAGAAAATAATAGCTGCTCCAAATTTCAAATACGGCACGCTTTACGGAACATACCTCCGAGAAGATGTACTCACAGCTCTCCAGCCATTCCAACAGGAAAACAACATCGATGAAACAGTCGGCAGCTGGCCTCACGCTTCTTTGGCCGATCACAAAATCATCTTTAAGCTGGAAAGAAGTATTATCAAATTCAGTATTACCCGTCAAACTAAAGTTTCACCAGATTGCAATGATTGTTCATAACCTTTCAATCTTTGAGACATTTTTTCTTCACCATTCATTTTCCCCTCCATTTTCGAATTTAAACTCGAATATTTGTATTGCAATTCCTCGATTTTTTTTGGTTTTTTATATAATTGTTCCTTCTATTTTTCATGTAGTTTTCCTTATTCCGTTTAACCTTTTTTGCTGAATAAATATATAAATTAAATCTACGTCTTTGTGTAAAAACCCATCTTACAATATGTGAGCTCTAATTTTCGACATGCGTATGTACCGAACGTTCCATATGTTTTGAATTCTAAGAATTTGTCGAACTGTTTAGAACTATTTGAATTCGAATTTTCAGCCGAGTTTTACCAGATTCATTAACCGAAAAATCGCGTTTTTAGTGCAAAATAGCTATTTTCAGGATTTTTTCAATTTTTTGTATGCTTCTGAACATGAAATTTGTTGTTTATACGAAGAAAAATATAGAAAGATATGAAGAAAATTTCATATTTCCGACATTTTCTAAAAAAAAAAACAATTTTTGAATCCTCTTCCACCTTATTTTTGAAAACTAAGATTTCGATGAAAATTTGAAATATGAATTTTCATCGAATTCTAAGTATAAGACATCAAATTCCATGTTTTGAAGCGTCATCAGTGAAGAAAATTGTCTGGCACCAAAAAGGCGATTTTTGTTACTATTTTGGCACCAAAAAGGCGATTTTTGTTACTGAAAATGATATAACTCGTCTGATGCTGGCGAGCTGATTCTAAAATTTTCAAAACTATCTTAGTATGCTGTCTTTAATCTATTCTTTCTTCAAAATCGTTCTCAAGGTGTTGAGGTTTTCTTGTTAAGCGAAATTACAACATTAAGAACAAAGGTGAAGATGGAAGGATCCCAAGTCGACGTCATTAATAAAATCATTGAAGCACATCTGACATAATTTTTGTACTCGAGTGGATCCCACGCCCTTGGCTCCCACAAATGTTGTTTTGTATCGCGCGCATTTCTCCTTAGCAACCCGCGAAGAAAGAAAGAGCTCTCTTGGTGCATGTGAGAGCTAGAAACTAAAATTTTTTCATTTTTCGATATTTCTTTTCTTCATGCTCTCACCAAAATTTTTCGTTTTACATTTTCTTCCTTACCCTGACGAAAAACCTTGTAATTACCTTTCAACGCTCGTGCTCTGAAATTAAGTTGACATCCGGTAAACAAACGTACATAGATTACGGTGGCAGTTGCACATATCTTATTTTTTCTCAAATGAAAATCTATAAACCGGTTCTCCTTAACCATTTTCATAAAGTAACTTCCAGGTATCCTAATGCCCGTAATCTTGGATCCAACCAGTCAAAACTACAAACGCACTGCTATTCACTGTTTTTTCAAAGCAGGAATCGAAGCTTCAGATGTAGTCAAAAAACTGGATGAGACTTTCCCAGCAACTACAGCACAAGAAGTGACTTCCTGGTTCAATCGCTTCAAAGAGGGAAATTTGGAAATTGGAGAACAGATAAGGTGCGTTTGGTTGGAAACAACTGTTGTTGTCTCGCATGATTTCTTCTTCTCATAAAAATACAAACTCATTTTTTTCTCAATAATTTTTCTTTAACACGATGTCATGTGTCACTTATGTTTCGATTTCATTTGAGAAGGTGTGTTAGGATCTCCAAATTGCCGAGTTTTTTAAATGAAATAAGAAGGTAATTTCTTGCGAAATATGCGTTGATAACGTTTGGCTAAAATCTGATTATTACTTTTTTCTGCTCTTAATGGTAATAGTGAAATGTTGCTTTTTCACTGAGAAATTACTAAAACATATGTCTAAACGCAGACCTAGACTTTGAGCTCAATTTGAGCTCAATTATCTCAGTTGTTGTAAGTGATATCAACAATTTGAAACTGCAAAAATTTTGATAATCCCTCCCTCATTGCTCATCTAGATAAGTTCCTCCCTCTTGATTCCTCCATTCTTGTGGGTGATTTTATTTTCCCCAGTTTATCTTGGAATCCCCTTAACCATAATCATCAGTTTGACTCTTTTCTCACTTCTAGAGGTCTTCACCAACATGTCTGTTTCCCAACTCGGGTCTCCGATACCTCAGCTAAAATTCTGGACCTTGTAATCTCCTCTGATGATCTTCCTGTTTCTAACGTCGCCGTCGAGCCTCCACTGCTTAACTCTGACCACTTTGCCGCCAAGTTCCACATTCTTCCTACCACTCTCACTCCTCTATCTCCATCCATATCTCGCCCTCGTTTATGGTTCAAGAAATGCAATTTGCGCTCCCTCAACTCCGATCTCGCCACCATCGACTGGGACCTCTCATTTAGTAGTTTGCCTTCTCCTTCCGAAAAATTCACTAAATTTATTGATATTCTTTCCACACTTATTCGTAATCATACTCCTCTGTTTCCTCCACCCAAATCCAAACCCTTTTCTCTACCATTTCGAAAGCTTAAACGGGCAAGGCACCTCTACTCCAAGCTTCTTAAAACTCCAACTACGGCTCCCAGGAAAATTCTCCATGTCCGAACTCGTATCAAATCTCTCACTCGAACAATCAATAAGAAAATGGTAAGTGACGGATTCCGAATCCTCTCAGCCCCACACTGTCGTGCTGCCCGCGCCCTCATCAAAAGTAGAATTAGATCTTCACCTAAAGTCCCACCTCTTTCTGCTAATGGCTGTCTTATAACCTCTGAACACGAAAAATCCACCTTTTTCACCAAAACATTCTCTTCTAATTATAATCATCTCACTTCATCCGCATCCATCACTCCCGCAATAAGTCATCAGCATCTTCCTTTTTCTGGCTCTGACCTTGAAATCTTCGATCCCTGGATAATTGAGAAGCTTCTTCGCAAACTCCCGCCTCGTTGTGGCTATTCTCTCCATTCGGCCAATTACTTTCTCATTAAAAATGCGCCACCACTCTAGCATTACCTTTATCGATTATCTTCTCTGACTCACTCTCCACGTCACATGTACCCGACTATTGGAAACACGCAGTAGTCGTTCCCATACCAAAAAAGGGTTCTCCTTCATCGCCCGAAAAATATCGCCCCATTTCGCTTACTGACCCATTCGCTCGAATTTTCGAACGATTGGTATGTGATCGCATCAAATGGGAATTCCTCCATCAATTCAGTAGTCTTCAACATGGTTTTCTCTCCAACAGATCCTGCACCACCTCTCTAGTTCAATCTTTTTCGAATTATAAAGCTACTCTTTTGAAATACAATACACTAGACGTCGTCTTTTTCGATTTCCGCAAAGCTTTCGACCAGGTACATCATCATCTTCTCATCCAGAAACTTGCTAGCTTTGGAGTCCCTAAATCTTACGTAGCTTGGTTCTCTTCGTTTCTCTCTGGTCGAACGTTCTCTGTCAAAATCTATGATTTTATTGGACCCCCTTCCACTGTCATTCCCTCTGGTGTTCCTCAAGGATCAGTCTCCGGTCCCTTACTATTTCTCATATTCATCAATGATCTACTCTTAGAACTTGAACAAATCCCCTCTCTTCACCTTGCCGCCTTTGCTGATGATATCAAACTGTATTCTCATGACCCAATCGCTTTTCAAACTGGTATCAACATGGTTGTAAATTGGGCTACCGCCAACCATCTCCCTCTTGCCCACTCTAAAACTGCCCTTCTTCGCCTAGGTTCCCATAATTCTTTCCATCCTCTCAATATTGCGGGTGTCACACTTACTCCCTCCTCCTCCGTCCGGGACTTGGGACTCATTACTGATTCCTCTCTCAAATTCTCTGCTCACATCAACAAAATCACATCTTTAGCTCTTCTCCGTTCCAAACAACTCTTAAAGTCATTTAGATCAAAGTCTCCAGAATTCTACATTCATCTTTTCAAATGTTATGTTCTCCCGATTCTTGAATACTGTTCTGTAGTTTATTCCCCTCCGCCTTCTTCTCGCCTTGCTCTAAAACTAGAAACTTCCTTAAGATTTTTCTCTAAGTGTATTTTCCAGCGTTGTAATATCCAGTACAGTTCCTATTCTGATCGTCTCTCTATCCTCAATATGTTCTCCATTCGACATCGTAGGCTAAAAGCTCAACTAATTCTTCTCTATAAATTTTTAAATGGCTCCGCCTACTTTCCTAACCTAAATGCACATGTCAAATACTCCTCCTCCCCTCGTCGCCCTATGAACTTAATTATTGTTCAGCCCTACTCCTCTGACTATTTTTCTTCAATTGTTCCCCTGTGGAACGCCATCACTTCCCAAGTTCCCCGATTTCTCCTACCTTTCGAGTTTGAATCCTTAATTTCTTCCAGTATTACCCGTTATTGATATATTTGCTCCCTATTTTTCTTTTTCTACCGGTTACATCTTTCCTGTGTCAAATATCTAAATTATCCCGTTTCTCCTCCCCTACTCAGATCGGCCTCGTGAGGGGCATTTTTTCTGAGTCTTTCATGTCCTGCCCTCTAATGTTTTATTACACCTGATCAATAAACAAATTAAATTTTAAAAAAAAAATATACCAAAACTTTTATCAGTTGGCAGGAATTTGATATCTTTCTTTGTCATCAAGATAATTAAGCTCACCGTGCAACTAAATTTTCAGCATCAATGCTTCGGGAATCATTATTGACAGCTCCATTGTTCTGAAAAGAGAGATACATGATTCAGGGGTAGCCGACGATCAGCCACCAGCTCGAGTGAATCCAGCTGACGTGAAACGAGAAGTGGAAGAAGATGGAACTCGTCCAAATAACCAACAACTTTTTTTCCGTTCCAACCCAATGCAACAAACTAAAGGAGGTTTTCAATTGAATCAATCGCCTCCAATCGTTCAAAGACCCCAAGACCAAGCACCTATGATACCAATGCACCGGTTTCCATTTCCAATTCCTAGTAAGTATCATGAAAGTTTTAGGAGATTTTAGAAGATTTAGGTTCACCAACGGTTGGCAGAGACCAATGATGCCACCATTTCTTCCAATGGATGTTGGGAGTTTACATCAACAAGGACAGTGAGTACAAAATTCATATTGTAGAATAGTGTGCTGTGTCGATTGTTGACAATCGACAAAAATCGACGAAAATCGTCAAAATCGGTGTCGATTTCGTCGACTCGATCAAAAATCGACATTCAAAAAGTCGACAGAAAATCGACTTTTCAAAAGTCGATGAAAGTGAAAATCGACAAAAGTCGATTTTTGTCGATTTTGAATCGACTCAAAATCGACAAGAATCGACAGAAAATCGACAGAAAATCGACTTTTGTCGACTTGTGTCGACTTTATTGTCCGAGAGGACTACACGACCGGTGACCTAGAAACTGCCTGTGACCGGGGTATTTTTCATGAAAAACAGGCATTTTTCATCGAATTTTCCACTGAAAAACCGTATTTTTCTTGTTTTTTTTTGAGTGTTTTGTTTTTTTTTTCTGTTTCATTTACGACATTCTTGCTTTTTGCAGATGTATTCGTCACAAAATCAATCTAAAGCGTGGCACTTTTTTACTTCGAAAAACAAAATAACGGACAAACTGTGACCTGTAAACTGTGCGGAAGGAGCATAAAGTTCCATTCTTCGACCACAACGATGCATCAGCACTTAAACAGTCACCACGAGAAAGAAGTTGAAAAAATGGAAAGATCGGTAAGCAGAAAATTATATATTTTTTGTTAAATTCTTAATTTTAGATAGTACACAAAGATCAAGAGCCACGGCATCAAATAATTGGAAAGAATGATGCGAATGATGATCTGGCTATGTGAGTTATATCCCGTTCTAAAAATACGCTTATCATTTTCAGAGCTATGTGTTCTTCGACTGTGCCTTTCCGCTTCCTCAAAAACAAACATTTTCGAGAGTTCTGCAGAAAGCTTAATCCAGATCATCTTCTTCCCTTTTTTTTAATTTTGTCGCTTTGAATTTTCTTCTATTTTCCTTGCCATCATATTTTGTACCCCCGTTGAAACTAAGTTTTACACTATTTGTTTTTTATTCATAAAAATAAAGTTGTTACTCTAAAATAAAGTTGTTACAATGATTTCTTCAAAAAATTAGAAAAAAACATTTTCGAGGTGAAATTTTACTTTGAAGTCCGGAAAAGTCGATTTTTCGTCGACTTTCGTCGATTTTTTGTCGACTTTTGTCGATTTTTCTGTCGATTTTAAGTCGACGCAAAATCGACAAAAATCGACAACGAAAAGTTCGCTTTTCATCGACAAATAACCTTTTCGAATTTTTGAATGTCGACTGTGTCGATTTTCAAAGTCGACAAAAATCATCGATTTTTGAGTCGACTCGGCACTCTATTGTAGAACCTTTTGCAGGACATTGATATTCAGTTTCGGACTAAATGATATCATATCTTGGATTTTTGTAGTGAAAATTTGTTGGCTATGAAGTTACAGAGAATTTCAAAATCTATGAAAACTTCAGAATTTATTGATTCGTCTGAAAACATGAAAGTGTGGTGAACAAAATTGATTATTATATATTCTGAAGAAGAAAAAAAATTATACTCCTATTTTCGACAAATTCTATTTTGATATTATGTTAATCTCATTAACTAAAAAAACGAAAAAGTTGTCGAAAATAAATGTGAACATTTTACATTAGAGTATCCTAAACACAAAATCAATTCATTTTCATAAATCGAAATTGTTTTTTTTAATTCTATTCAATTGAAAAACCGTAATACCGTAATACCCATAATATTAAATCCTTTTAATTTTCATATGTTTTGTAACTGTAAAAATCGAATTATTCCGGATTACTTTTTCCAGGCTTTAGAGCTGTCTAGTTTTTCCTACGGACAAAATGTGATGAATTCTAAATTTTACTAAATATCTAGGAATTCGAAAAGTCTAAATCCTATTTTTCAGCTTCCATATCGACGGTGGAAGTGCCTGGAACTGGCCTCCAAGTCGAGTTCATGTAATGGGAGAGATGCAACTTCCGGTGCCGCGGTAAAAACTATCAAAAACACTGAAACATAATATTTTGACTGTTTTAGGAACACACCACCTATTGCAAAACTACCTGTGGAGAGAAGCATAGAGGGCAACGTGAGAAACTCTTTGAGTGTCAGCATTCGCTTAGATGTCGATTGTGTTACTCTTCAGTTAAAACGTCCGGATGATTCACAGACAACCATGGATTTCACGAAAAGGACTGGAAATCGCTGTGAGATTGACATAACTGGAACGCCAACAAATATTGTCCGCAATTGGTACATCGCGGAAGCCTTGAGAGAGTTCAAGAAAATATTGAGATTTCATGGAATGCGATTCACTTCATTAGCTATTACCTCCGCGGAGGATGAACGAGACAGAGTAGCATTTATGGAAATAATCGGGAAAACATTCCAAAAATTAACTGAGAAGTTGTACGTTTATGAGCTCGAAATTGGTGTCAATAAAAAATCGGAAATGTTTCCAATCCTGGAGAAAGTTCATGTGGGACCTCTGAAAAGATTCTCGTTGAGCGGCAGAAGCGACATCAATGAACGTATCTACCTTGAAGACACTCCAAGTTTGGCACTGCATGTGCCTCATTTGCGATTCTTGCACTGGCAGAATTTGGAGAACGATATCCCGCTGCAGTACTTTACCGATCTTATTTCTTACCAAGGCCATCAACGCACAATCTCAAGAGCACAAGTTGCGCTTTACAAAAATGTATGTTAATTAAAAATTTCGCACGTTGTAAACTCATATTTTTGTGAAAATTTCAGGATAGGTTAAGAAAGTATACCTGCATATCTAGACAAGTCTGAAAATTTAAGATTCCATTAGCCGATTGGATTCTAAAGTTCACAAAAGTGTCTAGCTAGGTTTTTCTTAACTTTCCCTGAAAATTTCATCAAAACTTGAGTTCACAAGGTGTCAAGGTTCCCTTCTTATTTATTTTAACAAAAATGCTCTTTTTTTCAGAAAATCTGCCAATCCGAGCAATTCGTCGAGAGCATCATTTATGGAAATATTAGTGAAGACTTGGTGGCGACACTAAAACCATTCGATCAACCAGAACCTTATGACACTTCCATTGGGAGCTGGGTGACAACGGATCGTCATACAATCAGAATCTACTTCAAGTTTGATCCGAATGCATTACAATTCCAAAAATCCACTTTCAAAATTCGATAAAAAAGTCCTAATTGGCCTTAAACGTCCAAATTGGAATCAGCACTCTGATCTTCTCTTTTTCTCAAACGTATTTTTTCTCAAGTCGAACATGTGTGATAAAAGTCTAGCTAAATTAATACTCTAGTATTCTATTTTTTCTCCTAGTTTTGTTTTTCTCCTGTCAAAGTTCTCAATAAATTTCCCAATTCCTAACAAAAAAGAACGTATCTTTCTTTTTACGAAGGGCCATCCATCTATTCTTTTTCGTCCCACAATTGCTTTTATCTCGCTGCACTCTCTCATTGAATCAATCCGCTTTTGGCGCGGAACGGCATTTTTTACGTAAGCTCCACTTCTTCCTATATAGCATTCCCTCTTTTTGGAAATAAGAATGGATTCTTTACAATTTTCCAATTTCCTGTGTGATATTTTTTATTCGCTCCACTTCCCATAGCAACCGAAGCACATGAGCTTTTTTGATGCATAAGTTGCCAAAAACTTCAAATTCTCTGAAATCTTGTTTTCTCTATGCTCTCGCTTCTCTATCACGTGATAAATTTTTCTCACCTCACAAAACCCATGATTTAACTAAGTTTCAAGATGAAAAGTTTTCCTTCACTTCTCTTTTCTTCTTTCTTACGATTCACTTTACGAATCTTATTTATTTTTTCCAGCTAATAAAATGTCGACAATACTCGACCCGAAAAGCGAGATCTACAAACGAACAGCAATTCATTGCTTGTTCGAAATTGGCTTGGAACCTGATGTCGTCGCTGGTGAGCTAGGAACCAGATTCCCAGGAATGACAACAGAGGAAGTGGATTCTTGGTTCAGTCGGTTCAGAGACGAAAATTTTGAAATTGGAAAAAATGTTAGGTGAGTTCAAAATATTGGGAATTGTCAGGGTGCCGTAATTTTGTATTCAATGATTTTTTAAAAACACTTCTAGCGCCAAAAAATGTGGAAATTCTTTGAAATGAAACTGAACTAAAGTTTCTAGTCTTATTCAACTGGCATATCAAATTACCATAACACTCTGTTAGATACTGTAGAAGTTCTACACTTTTACATTCATAAATAAGTATCTAATTTTCTTATCTCTTTAATTTTATTCCCCTCAAATCATTCAAACGATCACATTTCCCNTGATAGAGGGCCACCTAAACAGTCAATGTTGAGCTCAATTTTCTTAATTTCTTTAAAAGATATCCAAAGTTTGCCAACTACTAAAAAACTCGTGATTTTACTACTAGACTACTAAAAAACTCGTGATGAGAAGAATGATCTGATTTCTCGTCGGATTGAAGTTCGCTCGACTTCTCCGTGTTGGGATTTTGCAAAACAAGAGCAACGTTAATTCTTATCCAAGTTTGGAGCCCCAGAAAAAAGGTACGGAACCCCTGCGTGCCAGAGTGGATGCCTGCGTGCCAGAGTGGATGCCCATCCAAGACGTTTTCGGGGTTTCATCGATCGGAAGAGTGACCGAGTGGAGCAACTCTTGGTGATAAATACTTGTTATTACATCGATAAAAACACTGTAACGTTTCATGTTCCTCCGAATTTTAGTTTTCGAGTTACACCATCTCAAAGTATTGCGGGTAATTAACAGCCACCTTGGTATTTGAGCTCAAAGTAAGCTTTTAGGATGGTATCATTTTTCAACTTTCTCAGTAAAAATAGACAACCTTAAGATTCTGAAAAAACATAGTCCAGAATTTTCCGATTTCTCTGAAATGTTCAGGTTTTACTCAACATAAGAAATAAGTTTATTTTGCAACCAGCCTTCTGTCTGCCGCGCTTCCAGCGCTTCAAACAGCTGGCTGTTGCGCTTTCGGCACAATTCAACTTTTTTAATTGTTCGTCGCTCCACTCCACACTTTTCGATTTTTCTTCCTCACGCTGTAGAACATCTACGCCCTCCCTCCCTTCTTCCAGTGTTGCTCTCATGGAGCAGCTCTGTGCGTGCGCAGCCATTGTGCGAAAGGCCGCTGGTTCGGTTTTGGTGGCGGCCAATCTTTCATTTAAAAACGCAAGACCTGACAGCCTGACGGCAAATAATTTGGAGGGTACAAAAATTTAGGGGTCATTGAGGTACAAAGCAATTTAGGGGTACAAAATCTTCAATTCGGGGGTACAAAATACCTGAAAAAAAGCTTAGCTTTGTACCCCCGAATTGTGAAGTTTGTACCCCTAAATCACTTTGTACCCCGTTGTACCCCCGAATTGTTGTACCCTCCGAATTATGTGCCCAGCCTGACACTAGGACCGACAAATGAGTCTAGCATTTTATATATAAGGAAGATTGACAACATTCTTTGACAAATTCCTTTTTGACGTGATATGCCGTTTGTAACCAAAACATTAAAAAATAGCAACTGAGAACTGTACTACTTTCCAAAAATTTTTTTGAAAAAATCTTCAGAATTTTTTGTCCAGTACTTCAAAGTTCTTCCACCTAAAAAATCAAGATACTTTCACTTTCCAGCATCGCTGAAAATGGAGTGGTCATTGACAAATCCATCGATTCGGAAAGTGAGGTGTACGATCTCGAAGAAATCTTTAATAAGCTGGAGCGTGATTATCCAGAGTTTAACCAAACCACGCAAATTGGTCGGGCTCCTCACGTCAACGTTTATAAACAGTACACAGCTCAGCGTTCTGATGCAAATCAAATTAGCTTAGCATCTCTCAATCTTAGGTAAGTTGTATGATTATATGATTAATCATTTTTAAGTTCACAATTTCAGCTCAAACCTCGACGTTCAAAGTACTTCGAGACCTCCGAAGTTTCCACCATCATCAATAGCTATCTACTGTTTACAGATGACTTGAAAATTTATGATACGAATAATAGATTGATTGATGCAGATTTAATTGAATTGGAGAATTGGTGCTCGAAGTGGAAAATGAAAGCGGCTCCTAAAAAGTGCGAATACATCAAATTCAATGCAACAAGAAAATATGCCAACTCCAATGTTATGAATCCCAAATTAAATCAAGCTTTGATTCCCCCTGTGGAAAATGTCCGGGATCTTGGGATCTACTTTTCCAGTAACCTGAGTTTCCATTATCATTATTCGTTGATTATTCGGAAATCACATCAGAGGATCAACATGTTCTTTTCCATTCTAAAAAACGCATCGTGGAGTGTTTTTATAAAATGCTATACAATTTACATACGCCCTTTACTCGAATATGGAACGATAGTCACTTCTCCAATCCTAAAGGATCATATTATAAAATTGGAATCGGTGCAAAAGTCATTTGTTTTCAGAATTTTCAAAAAATTCAGGATGGCATACACTTCATACTTTGAAGCACTGGAAGAATGTCAGCTAAGTTCCTTGGAGTA